CGTGTCCGGAACACCTCACCAGGGAGGCGTCCAGGAGGCATCCTAAAAAGATGCCTGAGCCACCTCAAGTGGCTCCTCTTGACGTGGAGAAGCAGTGGCTCTACTCTGAGTCCCTCCCGGATGATCGAGCTTCTCACCCTATCTCTAAGGGAGAGCCCAGTTACCCTACAGAGAAAACTCAATTCAGCCACCTGTAACCGTGATCTCGTTCTTTCGGTCATAACCCAAAGCTCGTGACCATAGATGAGGGTAGGAACGTAGATAGATCAGTAAATTGAGAGCTTCGCCTTTTGACTCAGCTCTCTCTTCACCACGACAGACCTGTACAGCGCCTGTTTCACTGCATGCTGCATGTATGTGTATATGTATATGTATGTATATATGTGTATATGAATGTATATATATGTGTATATGAATGTATATATATGTGTATATGTATGTATATATATGTGTATATGTATGTATATATATGTGTATATGTATGTATATATATATGTGTATATGTATGTATATATATATGTGTATATGTATGTATATATGTGTATATGTATGTATATGTGTATATGTATATGTATGTATATATATGTGTATATGTATGTATATATATGTGTATATGTATGTATATATATGTGTATATGTATGTATATATATGTGTATATGTATGTATATGTGTATATGTATATGTATGTATATATGTGTATATGTATGTATATATATATGTGTATATGTATGTATATATATATATATATGTATATGTATGTATATATGTATATGTATGTATGTATATATGTATATGTATGTATGTATATATGTGTATATGTATGTATGTATATATATGTATATGTATGTATATGTATGTATATGTATATGTATGTATGTATATATGTATATGTATATATATGTATATGTATGTATGTATATATGTATATATGTATATATATGTATATGTATGTATGTATATATGTATATATGTATACATGTATGTGTGTATGTTCATGTGTGCGTGTGAATTAGTCACCCCAACGATTTAAGGAAACTGTACTTTATAGTTTTTAGATTACTTAAAAGTGTAGTTTCCCCAAATTATTTGGGTGGAAAAAGATAAATCTTTTGTGGCCAAGGCCACCATTGGCCACACCCTGGCTTTGCCCTTGAGCCTGGTGGTGGATAAAATTGCTCCATCACTTTTTGCCACCTCAAACAGCACATTATCCCAGCAATGAGGTAATTTTTTTCTCCCTCCTAACAAAGATTTAGACTTCATCCCTTGTAAAAAAAAAAAAAAAAAACTTTAAACTTACTTTCAGTGGATCTGAAACACGTGAACATTTCCACGCAGCCAAAGACTGACAGATTCAGTGCTTATTTTTTTTCTGCATTACTACCAGTAGAGACTCCACTTGAATATCTTGCACCAAAAACATAAAGGTTTACTTGCATTCTCTGTTCAATTCCAGTCCAGAAAAACACTCATCTCATAAACTACAAACATTCACTCTTCAGGTCCGTCAGCGGTGAGGAACATGGGCGGTATCGCTTGTATTGTATTAAACTGTGAGCAGCTAAACTGCACAGAGACGTTGTTCAGGGTTTTACTGTGGTACTTCCAGAAAAAAAAAAAAGTTTGACAGTTAAACTGAATTTTATTTTAATTAATTTTTGTGTGGCCTAATACTTATTACAGAGTGTTCTTTAAGGGTAACAGACATGAAGGCTGATCTGAGGGAGAGTTAAAATACACTTTAATTACGCCGCATGTTTGATTGGCGCTCGCGACCCAAGCTGTGAAGACAAAATCATGTTAGCTCGCCCTTTTATCTGTGCAATTTTTTATCCCCCCCCCCTCCCCCACGCACACACAGGCTCACTATCTGTGTCTCTCATGCACACGTGCACACGCATCGTGTGAAGTGACTGTTCCATTTAGGGAACTGTCAGAATATACCCCGTGAGCACATCAGGCTGTTCCTATCCTCTGTCAGCTCCAGCCGAGGCTGTGTGGGGGTATGTCAGAAATGTGCGGGGATAGATAAAACCCATGGAGCCAAACAGCTTTGTTTCATTCATTCTCTCTCTTTTTTTATTTCCCCCCCTCTTCCTTCTTCCTCCTCCGTCTTCCCATCCCTCCTTTCCTTACACAGGCTGTGAATACCCTGCATCTGAGAAATCAGACCAAACTGACTCACAGGGCCCTGTGAGCCAGTGCCACCGAGGCTGCCAAAGCATGCTGGTGCCAAGCTGTCCCACCATGCACGGAGCCAGACCCACGCCGCTGCTGCCGCTGCTGCTCATCCAGGGTCTGCTCCTCCACCTCGCCGACGCGCAAAGTAAGTCCTCCGTACACTTCCACGTATGTAGGCCTCAGAAAGACTGTCCTTTTGAGCTGGTGAATGTTGTGTATCGCTCTTTTCTTTTCAACTTGTCAGACATCTAATAAAAGCAGCGTTAATAAATGTTTGCAATCCAACTTTTCCATGAAACATGCACGTTGATGAATAAGACGGAGACATCTTTCAACAAGTTCAAAGCACCAAATGTGGCTCCCCACCTTCACATGTCGCTTGTCTGTGCTGTTGGAAGTAGCTCAATAGATGTACTGATGTTACATTTGGTCTGATGGTAGCTGAGAGTCATCTCCAACTCATACTCCGAGTGCTAACAAGTTGCACGCAACATCCTTGTTCGATACTGTGACATGTACAGCTATTTACAAAATGTATTTTTACAAAAGTGATTGGTTTATTGATTGGTTTATATGGCATCTAAACACTGATAGAGGGATGTAAAATATACAAACACAAAAATGGTTTCAAGGCAATCAGTATTACAGATGTTGACTAACATTTGGTGTGGTAGAAGCTGAGACTTCCACAGTCACCTCTTCCAGCTCTTCTGGGAGGACCCCAAGGCGTTCCCAGATCAACTGAGAGACATATAGTCTCTCCAGTGTGTCCTGGGTAGTCTCTCCAGTGTGTCCTGGGTCTTCCCAAGAGTCTCCTCCCAGTCGGACATGCCTGAAGCACCTCTCTGGGGAGGCGCCCAGGGAGCATCCTTACCAGTTACCCGAACCACCTTAACTGGCTCCTCTCCATGTGGAGGAGCAGCGGTTCTACTCAGTCTCTCCCAGATAACTGAACTTTTCATCCTATCTCAAAGGGTGAGTCCAACTACCCTGCAGAGGAAACTCGTTTCAACCACCTGTATCTGTGATCTCATTCTTTCATTCACTACCCAGCATTTGTGACCATAGGTGAGGGTAGGAACATTGATCGACCGGTAAACAGAGAGCTTTGCTTTACAGCTCAGCTCTCTCTTCACCACAACGGACCAGCACAGAGTCTACAATACTGCAGACTCTGCACTAATCCGTCTGTCAATCTCGCGCTCCATTCTTCCCTCACTCGTGAACAAAACCCCGAGATACTTGAACTCCTCCACTTGAGGCAGAACCTCACCCTTGACCTGAAGAGAACAATCCACCCTTTTCTGGTTGAGGACCATGGCCTCAAATTTGGAAGTGCTGATTCTCACCCCAGCTGCTTCACACTCTGCTGCGAACCACTCTAGTGAGAGCACGGCACAATGATGCCAGTAGGACCACATCATCTGCAAAGAGCAGAGATGGAATCCGTTCATAACTTTTATGTCCATAAAAGTTATGAACAGAATCGGTGACAACGAGCAGCCTTGGCTGAGTCCAACTCCCACCCTGATGGGGTCCGACTTACTAACGGCATACGAACCAAACTCTCGCACCGCTTGTATAGAGACCGAACAGCCCGTAACAGTGGGTTCCCAATCGTACTCAACTTATACGTTTCAAGCTCACTTAAATGAAATGTGTTTTTAAACCTTTGCCTCCATTAGTCAACTGGGTCTCTGTCAGTAGAAGATCTCATGAACTTTTTGACCGTAACTCTCAGAAAGTAATCACTGGGTGTTCGTCTACCACGGCTTCATTTTGGAGTCAACTCAGCCGCCACAGCTAATTGCACACTGTTGTGAAAACAAAATCCCTTTTTAGGGAAAAGAAACACAAAAGTGAAACATTGAAAGATTCTGCATAAAATTTAGACCAAAACGGCCTTAAATCTGTCCCTTCTCATCAAAAGACGATCTTCATTTAAAATATCTGGCATGAAAGGCAGCGAGCAACTTGCATTCCCTTCAAGAAACGATACGTTTTATGTTTACCTTTTAAACACATCTTTATTTCAGAATTCCCAAAGTCTTTGTCTCCCTGAACCTCAAAGTTTGTTCTCGTCTTTATTTTCAACGTGATTTTTATTCTGCAATAGTAACCAGAAGTGCTCTGGGCCTCGGCCCAGAATATCACAATGAAAAATCTTCTGAATTGAGTTACTTGACACGAGACACCTGCTCATTGATGTGTGACAACAGTTTTCAAACCTCATTGAGCTTTGGTCCTACACCAAGAACCCCCCCCCCCCCCCTTTTTTCCCCACCTTTTTTTTAAACACTAAGATCCATGAATCATTAGCTCCTGGAGTCACAGGATGATGAATAAAATTTTATTGCTCCCCCTGCACCGACTGAAATCCCCTCAGCTGGGCTGAATATCTCTGACTGAAGGGCTCGCTCACACAAGGTCATATACAACGGAGCCACGCGAGGTGAAATTGATGGGTGAAATTTTCCAACTTTGTGCTTGAGAAATGTTCCCTGCAATCTCCTGAAATGTGTTTTATTTTTCTTCCCGCTCCCTCCCGCCACATATGTCTCTCAGCGGGAGAGGAGGCAAATGGAGGCGCGTACTCCCGTTTATCCTCTCAGTTTATGTGCCGCTCCGGGATTTATGGACACAGTTTAATTATGGGACCCTCCAAACAAAGGAATAATGGTCAATAAATGTCACCGAGGGAGTTTTTGGAAGTTGTGAAACTCCCGTGCTCTACAGTTCAGATTAGATTAACATTTGATGTAGAAGGGGGGTGGGGGGGCGACAGCTGTCTTGGCAAAACATTCAGACATTCCACTCGAACCGAGTCCTGTACAACTGTACTCGACAGCCTCCCCTCAAGTCTTGACGCCTCGGTTTAAACGTCCACAGCCACCCGGAGTAATTTCCTTCCTTTAGCTGTGTGTCTGCGAGCAGCTGCCGTTACCCCACACTCTCCTTAAAACAGCTGTGCTGGGTCATCGTTTCCACGCCAAAACAAACTTAGCACGAGGGAGCCACAGTGGCTTTCTGTTAATGACTGAAAGGGGGGGGGGGGGGGTGTCTGGGAGTTGTGGAGGTCATCCTGTCTGAAACCGAGGTGTGAGGGACACGGCCTGTTCCTTCTTCAGGCAGTGCATTACAGCTCTGGGATTTATATTCAGTCCCTGCTCCTGTGTTGTCTGATCTCCCTCTTGCATGTGTTCGTCCCTCGCTTCCCTCCATTGTTGTTCATCCTAATCACTCTTTTGCCAAATTTTCTCATTTCTTCTATGGGTTTTTTCTGTCTCTGCTGTTTTTGTTGTTCACACACACACACACCTCTTCTTCTTTCGCTGTTTAAAGCAGTGCAACAGCCCCTTCCAGCGACTCGCATAACGTCCTCAACCGTTCCGCTGCACAAGCACATCCAGCCAAGACAAACTCAGCCTCTTTTCTTCATGTGTGGTGTGCACCAGGAGCCTTAGTACGCAGCAGTTTACTCTGTTTCCTCTGAAAATTTAAAAGATCAGGCAGTGTTTTGAAAGAGAAATGTGGTCTGTATTTGCTTTGGGACGTTTGGGGATGGATTAGCCTCAGGCTGAGGACATGAGACGCACCATGGCAGTAAATGGCTGAACCTGTCTGCTCAACAGATGGCACAATCAGAATTAGTCTTACCCTGCACAGAGGGCACTACAGCCCCCATTAAAAGATTGCAGAAGTCTTTTAGTGAATGTGCATTTATGTGTTATAATGTGACAAAGTTTTACGTATTGGTTGTTTTTGCAAATCTTTCCAAGGAACATCTGTTGGATAACACCTTAAAACAGGGGTGTCCAAACGTTTTCATAGGTGGTCCAGAACTGTATAAAGGGCTCATGTGCCAGAAAATTTTGAATAGAAAAAAGTTTAAAATCATTATTTTTCCCCTCATTTTTAAACTCGCAACATGAACAATATGTTGGAGAAAAGCTAAAAGTTTAGTTTAAATTATTGTAGATCCAGAACATTAGGAGCTTCATAAACATTAACTTTTTATTTATTTATTTATTTAAAGAATTTAATTTATAAGATTAGATTTTTGGGGAGTCTTTTATTTGTTGTTTGCTTAAAAAGTTATTTTTTGTTTATTTTCAGAGACAAAAGTCTAAAATGAGTAACTGTTCTATAAAAAAGTGGGTGGAGCTTCAAACACTTGTTTGGACCATGGATGGCCCAAAAGGGTCATCAAAGTTCTGAAAAACATCTGGGAGTTGCTAAAACAGATTCGTGGAAGGTTTGAAGAGACACCGATAAAGTTGATCAACTTGTATGTCGATGATATCACTTTATATTATTTTAAACATGACCATTTTCTACCCATCAATCACTTAATCAACTGAAATAATTTTCTATGAAAACACTTGTTATATTTAGCCAAGTTTTATGAATTATTATCCAAAATTCTACTTTTTGGTAGGTCAGTGAAGAGTTGTTCTAGAATAAAGGTAATAATCATAGCTACATTTTTGTATCGTACTTAATATTGCTAATTTTGCAAAGATTATTTTAATCCGTTTTGCTGTTAAACCTAAAAATTAAAAAAGTGTCACCATTATTTCTAAAGAAGGACAACATCTGCATCAACCTCTTAAGCCTGTGGGTCAAAATTATACCATTCTTAAATTGTAGTTGCGGGCCGCACAAAATCACTCCAAGGGCCACAAATGGCCCTCGGGTCACACTTTGGACACTCCTGCTTTAAAAGATTAAAAATAACGTTCTTATGTTGGGTTGTTTTTTTCCTCTTTTCAGTCTTTGGCTGTTTCTCCCGTTTCCTCCTTCACCCTGCCCCACTTACACTTTTCAATTGCAGCTTGTTTAATTTGTGTGACAAATTGGGCTTGGCATCAGTGTGAAAGAGGGACGTAATTGTCCCCGGTGAGCTGAGGGGGGACAGCGCAAGAGAGGCAACAAACAATCTGTGCCTTTTCCTGAACAGTGATACAGAGAGGAAGTGTCTGAGCTGTGGGAGGTTTGGAGCTTCTTCACCTGAGCAGGGATGAAGGGAACAAAAACTGAGTCGTAATTAGAACTGAGGGCCGTCGGAAACTTATTTCTTACTTCTGTCAGAAAAACTTTACATCATCAAGAGAATGACGGGGGAAAACAAACTGGAATGCTCAT